ACGGCTGTACTGCAGCAACATACTGATTCGTGCAGAATCAATACAGTGCTTATAGAGCAGGGGTCACCAATGCGGTGCCCACGGGCACCGAGGGTCCCTCAAGAACTGTATGGGGTGCCCTAAGTGTCAACAAATAACCTCTTTATTGCTCTTCTTTTTCTAATAATTTAATGAGCATTTCATATATAGCATTTAAACATTTACAGCAATTTTAAAATAAAAATATTGAAAAGAAAATTAGAAATTAAAAGAAACAATCAAGATATATTTATGTATGAGGTTTAGGTGACCCCTCCAGTTGATAGCTCAGTATTGGTAGCCCTTCCTTTGACTCAGTAACCATGAAGTAAAAATGCTGGTGACCCCTGATATAAAGTATCCCAGAATTTCCTTTTATTTTGAAAACCACAGAAATTTTTTTTTTACTTCAAAATTTTGCTCTTTTTTTGTGTTGATATATAGCACATTTCAAAGAAGGTTTGTAACTGACATGACAAAATAATAAAAATAAATTTTGAGAGAAATTAAAACTTAAGGACCTGTAGTTTATATAGAATTTGCTGTTAATATTTTCTCTTCCACTCCTTATGTACAAAACCAAGAAAATACAGTGGACAGACGTCAATATGGATTTTTTTTTTTTTTTACAGAGAGATAACTGTTTCCAATTGATTGTGACTATCCTTTGCAATCGACAAAAACTTGCTTCATTATTGCCACTCTATTTACCTCCCACTACTTGCACCTCACTGCTGACAAATCCACACAACTATGTGGGACACAAAGGCTTGGATTTAGCTGCCGGGCCAAAGTTAGGGATGGGCTGAGTACAGAGGGGCAGCAGGGCCAGCATGGAAATTTCTGCTGCTTTTGACACACCCCAGATCAGACGAATCAAAACAACTGCCAGTATCACCCTGTCAAACTCCCCCTTTCTCTCCTGCCGCAGCCAACATGACCAATGACCAGTCATCACTTTTATGCAGGAAATGCAGCCAGATCAGGACAAGCCAGAGGTGTTGGTCAGAGGAGAGGCTTGTCTGGGCAGAGTGGGCCTATTGTTGCAAAACAGCTGACAGCTTGGATCTGATCTCATTTGATAAGCAAAAGTATTGACAGATCTAATTTAAACAGCTTGTGGGGGACTTTTGATGCTGATCTGTCCTGATTGGGCAAGTTTCTACAAAAATGCATCACTAAAGTGATGGAAGGGCCAATTTGAAGGCCCTTAAATGTTGCCTGATAAGTTCATATAATTCACAGCCTGCTACAAATGCAATAATATATTGTATACGGTCATATGTAAGAAAATAAGAATATGCCTTAGGATGATGTTTGTGAGACTAACAGTACCTTTTAAAAATTACAACCATCATGCAGGTTTGAAAATAAATCAAGCCCACATTTCTGTACTAAAGATATATTTCATTGGTCTGTTGAAACATATGTACACTAAATGTTTCACTTTCATTAGCTTTTAATTATCAGTGATAATTAACATGAAAATAGGCTTAAAAGCTACTGTGAGCTATTACTGATGTAAATTAACTTTTGAACAATACAATCTTAAACATGACTGTGTTGGTAAAATCCATTTGTTCAACTATCTATCCTTTCTTAAATGCATCCATGGATGATAGATGGATGGCCAGATAGATGGATGGCCGGACGGACGGATGGATGGACGGACAGATGGATGGATGGATGGAAGACTTGTCTGGTACTCTGACCTATTTACTAGGATGCACCAATTGCAGAGTCATCCAAGTATTTCTACAGATGACAAGGCTCTGAAGCAACCTAATATATTTCATCAGTGTTTCCCATTAGGTAAAAATAAATGAATATACAATAAAACAGAAAAGCATAAAAACGAGAATTAGTGAGGTCTTTGACACATGGATTGTTATTGAGCATTATAGCATTACTGTCACACAGACAGTATTTTAACACCGCATGGCTTTTTTCCTGTAACCGAGTTTAACCTGCCCCATTCCAAAGGGTTAAGATTTTATATGGCATGACAGGGGAAACGTGCATCTGGAGGGATGTTGGGGCTTTACGAAGCATCACATCCATCCATTTGTCTGTCTTTGCTTCCATCCTTCTCTCAATCTATCTGTCCATTTATTCATCATGGCAGATAAAGGGCTGACATATTCATACTAAAGCAACTGTGACCTTTAAATCTGTTTTCCATTTGCGCTTTAAGATACCAAAAATAGCTCAGCATGTATGGAAATGTGTTTACTCTCTAAGAGTCTCACACAAAATAATGCAAAAGGCTTTAAACAGCAGCTTAGCTTACAGTTTCTTTAAAATATTTGAACAATGAATAATCAAATATCCTTAAGCTATATTTTCTATATCAAGTATCATATACTTCTGGAACAAGCTCCTATCCTACTTCTAACCTCACCTTACATAAAATACATTGACAGTGTATTAATCATAGCTGAAGCAAAGTTTTACATGTAGCTATAAATCACAAATATCAATGTAACATCTGTGAAATCGTAAGACAAATGCATATAATGGGCCCTAAGGTAACTACTGTAATTATCTTTTACAGTGGCAAAGCATCAATGCATGCCTCATAAAAATATCTAATACTTTTTAAATTTCCTGATGAAACTAACCTAATGAATATGATTTAACTGTTTAAGTCAAGATCTATCTGGCCAGTTTAGGTATTTTTTTAGTCTATTTTTGGGTGATTTTGGCGAGCCTGTATGAATGCAGCCCGGTTCCCTCTTTTTATCCAACACGAGGTTAATTTCTTGCTGTTGTTGCCATTCAGCTTTGTTATATATTCAGTTTAATTCATAAATAATTTACTAATCCCAAATGGAAACTAAATGTTGCAGTAAGTTGTATGCTATTTCTTTAAACAGGTGTTGTAGGCCTTGATAGCTGTATGAAGGAAGGATCGTCTGTAGCGGTCTGTGTTGCAGCAGATCTGGAGAACCCTCATTCTTACCCATAGTTTTAATCACTTTATGAGGAATTATTATTTCTAAACTAGTATTCTTATTTTCTTACATATGACTGTAACAAAAGTAATTTCCCTCTGGGATTATTAAAGTATTTCTGATTCTGATAGTCTCCAGAGGTTCTATGAGAGTTCCCAAAACATAGCGACACTTTGTAATTTTTATTCAGGGATAATATTCAGCATACCAGGGTTATATCAAGTGGTTACTTAACCTGCTGCCGATTATCATCCCAAACTAGTCTATCCATTCTCCTTTGCACTGAGTCTTCAATTAAGGATTTTCTTAATTCTGAACAGCTGCCTCATTGTGGATTATTATTATATATAGAAACTTGTATGTCACAATCTAATTAGATCAACACTTATCAAAACACAAACCAGCCCGCATGGCTTCAGTCATGTTACATTCACAATCGGCATTCGGGATCATCACTCCTTGTAGCCCGACTTCCTGTCCCATGACTTACTAATTTGGGGGTTTGTGCGTTCAACTTATTGAATAGGTTTAGCTGTTAAGTGATCATAGTCTGTAAAATGATGCGAAAGAAGCATAATTTACAATCTAAAACTAAAAAACCTGCAGTGCTTTAGCTGTTACCCTGTGTTCTTTCATGTTTTCATAATTTAGTCTTTGATTAACTCTTGGAGTTATTTAAATATAGGTTGAACGCTGTGGGACTGTTTACCAATATCCATATATCCAGTTGTAGGTAGTGGTTCATGCTGTGTTTTGAAGGAATACTATAAATGGCTTTGTAAGCTTTTTTTTTTTTTTTTGCAAATATTTATCTGTGATTTCGTTTCTTTTTCTTTTTTTTGGGTTTGATGTGTTGCATTTAGAGATCTTCTAGCCAACTTCATGTTTCCAGAGATGTTCTATTTAACTCATTTCATGAGTATACAGCATTCAGGCTGTTCCTAATAAAACCTAGAACCTATCAGCTGTGATCAATAACAATTACCAGATTTAGAAATATTGCATGTTTTTTTGTTTGTTTTTATGTACAGCACATTGGCAAACATGTTTTTGTTGTTAAATATACTTCATACATAAAGTGGATTGGATTAGATTTGATGGAGCCAATATATAAATTATTTTTTTGTTTCCTTGGGTTTATTTTATCATGATAAAAACTGACCCATAATTTTTATTCTACTTCATTTTAGTCATGTTTGCCCCAATTAAATTATGTACTGAAGTCAACAAAATAAACACCAACAGAAGTAAACAAAAGGAGTTTTTTTTGTAAGACATGAAACAATTATCTGTTTAAAACAGGCAATGGATGGAGCAGGAGTTTTTTTTCTTCCCTGATCTCAAATTAATTGATAAGTACCTCACAAATAGTTGTTATAAAACCATATCCTATTACCTACAGATCATGATCTACTTTAATTTGCTTTGCATATTTTCTAACTAGACAACATAAATTGCACATCTTTTTAAATTTGGTCAAGGTCTTTCTGTGAAGAGTATTTCATTATTAACTGTTGGCTTTCAAAATGCATTTATTAAGCTATTTTGGTTATTACATCCTCTACTACTAACAATGCTGATGAGATGTAGGATTCATGTATGGTGATCAGTTCGATTTAAACACAATTTCTTACCCTTCATTCCCTCTATAAAAGGATAAGAATGCAGCATAAAGGCGATCGACTCTATTAGTCTGCGTTCATCTTTAAGAAATGGAGCCACAGCTTGCAGGTAACCTTGAAATGACCCAAGGCGCGCAGTCAGAGCGCTGAGCTAGGAGCGCATCCACCTGTTCCGTCATCAGAGGAACTATGGGGAGAAAAGCTGCTGCCTTTGCTGTGTAACCACGGCAACTCCTCCCTCTAAACTGAAACATCACCAAAGCCTCCTCTGCGTGAGCCAAGCAGGGGAGGGACACAGGCTGCCTTTTTTACCTGGATTCTATTAACCTGTTATTGTTAAACCAACCAGATCACGTGCTCAGCCAAGCAAAGAGCAACACCCCCCCGTCTTTTTTTTTTTTTTTTTTTTCTATTGGACAAGAGGAGATTTCTATAATCGTAAAGGATGCTGCTGATCCTGGTGCTGATGCTGCTGTAAGGCGCGCGCACTCAGAGCTCCTCCTCTGCCGTCGGCGAGTGGTCACATTTTTCTCTCTCTGCTCAATGAGACCAAGAGGGCACCGGAGAGGATTTCCTAAACTCAACGTGCAGCCCAGCCGCGTGCCTATTTTTTTCCCCTGTCGCCTTTATTAAAGGTAAGGCATGACTCTGGGTGCGCGTCATGCGCCTCACCAACAAGAGGGCACCTTGTTTATGTTTGGCTTTTTTTTTTTTCTGCTGGGAAGAAATGATCTAAGGGGTTTAATCCGAAAGGGCGAAATTGAAGGGCATACAGGGAGTGGAGTAGGAGAGTTCAGTTGTGAAGGCAGCGAGCATCTCTGAGAAGTCAGATAGTGCGGTCAGGACGCGGGTGTTTATCCGCCTTTACCTACACGCTGCAATCAAGATCATTTCTATAAAGCGCACCGTTTATTTGACAGGTAATGGCAGGAAATGCATTTTTTGTTCTTAAGTAGTTTGCTGATCCGTTCATTCGTTCATGGTCATGCTTTTGCCTGATAAGTTTCTCTCTGCATCATATCAAGATGTGCATATATCATTATGTAGATTTAAATTACTGCTAATTTTAGAGTGCAATGATGTCCTCCCAAAAGATGATAGTCTCTGACCAACCGCTATTAATTATTGTTAAGTTTTGTTATGGTTTATTTGTCTTAATTATTTTTTTTTTTTTACTCTGTCACATGGAATAATAACATATATTAAATTAATTATTTTTATTAGTGCATATTCAATAGGGATGATAATTCATGTAGTAGCTTAAAAGTCAGTCTACTTATTTGTCTGTCTGCTTTCTTAGTGTTTCTTTTTTTTTTTTTTTTTACTTAGAAACATGTATTTTTTTTTTTTTATCTCTTTAAGATATCTTTTTATCTCTGATTTAGACCAGAAAATATGATGAAAATGTACAACTCAAATGTAGCCTAAACAGTGACACTGAGTCAGACTTGGTTAAACCTGACAGCTTTTCACGCTTGTTTGATTAAAGTATGGTTGTTGTTATATTGTATCCCACTAAATTAAACATTGATAGAGGTTTTAATATCAATCAGACATAGCATTAGCGGTCTCCGGCTGCTGTAAATACTGTATCCCTTCTCTCATTAAATTTATTCCCAAAGCTAAAATGTACTGGGAATAAATACCCATCTATTCACTTTCCGTCATGCTTATCCCTGGGGTCGTGAAGGGATGCTGGTGTCTATCTCCGGCTGTTTACGGGCGAGAGGCGGGGTACACCCTGGACAGGTCGTCAGTCCATCACAGGGCAACACAGAGACAAACAGGACAAACAAGCATTCACACACACACTCACACCTTAGGAGAATTTAGAGAAGCCAATTAATCTAACAGTCATGTTTTTGGACTGGGAGAAAGCCAGAGTACCGGCAGAGAACCCACACATGCACGGGGAGAAAAATCAAACTCCATGCAGAAAGATACCAGGCTGGGAATGGGAGCTGCAAACTTCTTGCTGCAAAGCAGCAGTCCTACCCACTGAAAAACCTTGGTTGGCAATGACTCTGTTGCCAATTAATCACTCCTTGACCACTTTTGATAAAGATGCAGTTTCGAAGATAGCTACTCTGCCACAGCTTTCAAACCAAGCATGATCAAGACCTTACTCCTTCCTGTTTTTTTCCTGCTTCTTAAGCATCAATTTCAAGGATGAACTGTTTACTTGTTCCTTGATGCCTTTTTAACAATATTTTCATTTACACTATATAGCTAAAAAGTAAATAATTTATTGTTTAGAATTAAAATAAACAAAGTTTGTCCTTTTTTTCTGCTTAATACCATCTTCTGCTGGTTATCCATCAGGGTCATTGGGAGCTGGTATATATCTCCTGCAGTCTATGGGCGAGAAGCGGGTTACACCGCGGGGAAGTTGCCAGTCCATCGCACGGCAATGCATAGACACGAAACCGTACACACACACAATCACACCTAAGGGCAATTTAGATATGTCAATCCAAATCCATGCAGAAAAACACCCTGGGCTGTTTAGGAGGGCCTAGATGATGATGTTTTAACTTTGTAAGCATCTGATTGGTTAATTCCCTACATTTTAGGTAAAAAGGTCACCCTTATATTTTAAGGTTACACCTCAAGCACAATCCTTGTGTAAAAGCACAGTTGATTCATCATAGAAAATCATTTCTAGATCCCTGAAGGTGTCATGTTTGTCTGGCCACACAGTTAAATGTGAGTTTAAACATCATGGCCATCTTTCACCAACAAAGGGAAGGCATCCCGTGTCATAGAAAATAATGCGTTTTAGCATGAAACTTGTATATCAACCCTAGAACAAAAAGAAAATGTTATAAACAGATGTTGGCTAGAAAATGGTTAAAGATTGATTATCCTAACTAAATCTATTCCTGTTTTAGCATGGATAGAAAGCCGTTCAGACAGAAGACAAATGCAACCTAGACCTAGATCATGGAAGTCTTAACGACCCAATTCTGTTCTTTTTTCACCTTTAAGAAAATCACATCGGAGCCACTTTCATATGTGGTACTGAATTGGATTCAAAAGCAATAGTTTTCAAAGCCTCAGCAGTGTCAACGTTCATGTCGTATTTCGTACAATATTTATGCCAGGCTCCCGGCTCCTACCACACATCCACATGGTTTTTTCTACATCACTAGCAGTTTTATTTCTAATAAAGACCTTGTTACCCGGTAATAGCTGTACTTTTTTTTTTTATTTCCTGATCTTGATATAATGTAATCATTATGTTGTCGACCCAATGCTTAACAGACATGAATACTTCCTTAAAAATTGCGCTGAATTGTAATGACTAAAGTCTAAAGTCTCCTTCTATGCAATAAGGTTGATTTGAGGTTGTGAACTGCTAGCCATTAATATCAACCACTGTGTCGTAATTTAGCATCAATTCACGCTTTATAACCTTTGTCAAAGAGAAAGAAACCCTTTCTCCAAGCTCCAAAAACTAGATTCCCCTTTGTAAATGCACTCGGTAACAAAGACCTTCATTTTTTGAGACATGTATAGGAGTATGAAAAAGCCTGAGATTATCATTGCTTTGATGTGAAACTACCTTAAAGTGTTCGTGTTTTGTACCATGGAGGACTGGTACACTTCTTACATTATAAGGAAAGAATATTATGTGGAATATTGAATAAGTATCTTAAGATATCATAAAGTGATAACCTTTTAAACACTAAAAGGTCGTTCTAATTGACAATGACCCCAAAGTGGCCTACATACAGCAAAGTCAATGTTTTAGAATGTCCATCACAAATCTCTGCTCTAGATACCATAGTACGTATATGCACAGCTTTAACAAGGTTTTAATAGGCCAAACCTGATGTGGTTTCATGTGGTTTTACCTGTATATATATCCAACCCATTCGGAAGTACCATGATGAGAAGATAATAAGTCAGTGTCTTTCAATGGTCACAATGTTGTACCTGGGTGGTGTGTAAAGCTGGAGTACAGGGTTATTTTTGTATATGTTCTAAACTGATTTAGGATTAAGGTATTCACTTTCCTCCTAATCAGGTGTTGACATTCTTTTCTGTTCTTTCATTCTTATCTAGTGGAGCCTAATATGATGACATCATTTGGTAAACTGGATCCTGTACAGCACTGGAAACCTTCTCATCTTATTTGAATCTGAGCGCAATACAATGTTTTGCTTCCCAACGTTCCAAGCAACCTGTTAAGAACAAGGACACTGAGAGCTGCACCAACATGGCTTCAGATCAGCCTGACATGGACTCCCCGGAGAAGTGGTCTACAGAAGATCCAGGCTGTAAGCAGCTGGGCCGAAGGTATATGCGGAAAAAGCTCCGGCCTGTGCGGGTTTTGGGGTTGGTCTTCAGCCTGTTGGCTTTAAGTGCCGTCTCCATCAGTGCCTTGAGCAGAAGTTCAGATGGGCTCAACAAGCCGTTGTTCCCCCAGGTGGCTCTTCAGGAGTCGGCCCCGCACAGGACCCTACTTTTCACACCACAGCAGGGGGATCAAAATGTGTCCGTTGACATGCCCATAGCCATGAAATCCACAGCTGACAATGCAACACAGGGGGAGTACCCGCGGGACCTTTTTACGCGTGAAGAGAGGCGCAATGGAGCAGTGGTCCTCCACATGTTTGGCATGATCTACATGTTCATTGCCTTAGCCATCGTGTGCGATGAGTTCTTTGTTCCAGCATTGACGGTGATCACAGAGAAGCTCTCCATCTCAGACGATGTGGCAGGTGCCACCTTCATGGCAGCAGGCGGTTCAGCACCAGAGCTCTTCACCTCCATCATTGGAGTCTTCATCTCGCACAGCAATGTGGGCATCGGCACCATCGTAGGCTCAGCAGTCTTTAACATCCTTTTTGTCATAGGGATGTGCGCCATCTTCTCTAAAGAGATTCTTAATCTGACATGGTGGCCTCTTTTCCGAGATGTTTCTTTCTATATCCTGGATCTGATCATGCTCATCATTTTCTTTTTGGATAATGTCATCTCCATCTGGGAAAGTATCACGCTGCTCTCTGCCTATGCCGCCTATGTAGTGTTCATGAAGTTCAACAGCACAGTCGAGGGCTTTGTTAAGGGTTGCATGCACAAGAACCAAGTGGTGGAAGTGGAGGTACAGCCAAAGGTGAGTTAAATATATCATTTTATTTATAATGTTACAGTGTTGGTCATTTCACCCCAACATCATTTTGTACTTTAGCAGTTGGCTGCATGTTTCCTACTGACCTTACAACATACAATTCCATTAATTTGCATCAAAGATTTGTGCATTTGAGAAATATTTCATTATTAGTAAAATTGTTAATCTAAATACAATAATACATAAGATTCATTTATTAAGTATAGATGTGTATAGCAATGTGTAAGCAGTGGGGCAAGAGGTGAGTATGCACTATATTCGGTGCAAAGTATCGCCACGCTCTATGGGGCTCCAAAGCTATGGCTGGAAAATCATTTCTAGTCAGCCATTTCTGCACCTAACGGCTACAGAGGGGTCTTTGGAAACATGATATCATCTGATAACACTTAAAATTGGATATAATCTGATGACAGGTAGCTAAAGAAGGATAGGAGAAAGTAGGGGAGAGACAAAAAAAAAACAGATTTTGTAAGTACTAAACAAAAAAAATAACAGTAGAGGGAGCAGGGTGAAGACATGTCAGTGATTAAAAAGAACCTTTAGAAGTGATTGAAAGGCAGAAAGTGATTTATGTCAGTCTATCAAAAGGGCGGAGAAAATAAAAGCTAAAGCTGCCATTTATAAAATCACACATTACTGTTGTCTTGCAACTGGGGACCTTCTTTTCAGACCACCCAATAAACTGATTCTAGAGCTGCTCCTGGATTTATTTGAAAAATACTCTTTTTAGGATGCTGAAAACCTATATGGCTTAACGGTCCAGGATCCGTTACAAAATCTGTCTGCATTAAGGCGAAAAGCGTGAAAAAGGTCTATTAACTATAACTATTGACACTCATCTGATTCAATCTCTGAGTAAAAGTCACATGCAAAAGTGTGATCCCTCAAAATTAGGGTTGAGAACCTCTTATGGTTTTTTTTCTTCTTTTTTTTCTTGTTTTTTTGTTGTTTTGTTTTAAAGAAAAAAATATGTGTATTTCTATGGGAGTGGACATTAGTAGATATATCCATAAATAAGGAGGAGGTGACGGGATTCTGTGTTTTGCTCATGAAGGAATTCGAGTTAGGATAAAACATTAAAATTGCAAAGAGTATAATTGTCACCTTGCTCAAGCATGGACCGTTGTGAATTTAATTTGGCTATGTTAAGTCTATGTGGATTTATAAATCTTTTTTTTGAAATGCACTCCATAAAATGTTAATAAAAAAAACTGTGATCCCTAGGACTCCCCTACTGATCAGTAAATATAGCAGATCATGACAATCATCTTGAGATTATTTTTTGTTTAGACAGTAATTGTTTCATTAACTAGATGGTCAAAATCATCAAAAAATGAAAGTGAGATCACTTTGGAGAAAACTGGATAAATATGTCTTCACGGAGATAGTGCTGATATCCAACAAGGACAACATTTTAAATATACGAATTGTGGTTTGCCTGCTGTGTTTTCAAAAACTGTTTGTTGCGGCCCTTTGTGTTAGTGTTGTATGTTTGTATGAAATTGAAAGTTGACCCCTTTAAACATTTTATGTACTTAATTTGAGATTGGTTTATCTTTAGTGAACAAATAACAAAGCCAGTTGTTTAGTATAGAACTCCAAAGATCTTCATCTCTCAGATCCCCTCTACTTGATCAGGGAGTGTGTATCAGCAGCTGCCAAACACGCGCATTGCTCATATCCCTTCCCTCGTTACATTTGAAACAACAGAAAGTCAAGAATGGAGTCACACAGATCATTTTACATCAATGGTCGCCTCTACACTGCTGTGAGGAGCTGGCAAACAGTATTCCACTGTGAGATTAATAAAACACACTGAAATACAGAATTCTGGGTTAAGCTCTACACATTATGTCTCAGTCTGACAAACAAATCCCTTAGAATATCTGGGGCCGACTTTAACCCCCTCTGTTAGACATTTTCCTCATAGCTCGTTTGACGAGGTCAATCAAATAGTCTGTTTTTGTCTTATTCCTTCATGCTTTAATGGTATGTGGATTTTCCTCTTGATCCATGTTTAATTTCTTGAGAAAGAAAGGAAGCAAAATTTTGATCCTGTCAGTCAGAAATAGCATCATTCTCTTCCCTCAGCTGACACAGACCTCCTCAATGACACTCGAGGGCAAAAGACACCGCAGTGCAATTTGATACTGGTGCGGAGGATTATCCTAACGGATTTTCCTTTGTGACAAGAGATGGAAATTAAATTTTAGAAAGTTGCATTTTAGAACTGTCATTAAATTTGGATTTATTTTAAGTACATGAAGGATTGTTTTTCTTTTCTTTTTTTTTTGACAGCAGGTTACGCAATGAAAAACCCTCTGGAGGAAGCCAATAGTACCATATGGTGCACAGCTTTGTCAGTTTTACCTTTTCGCCCTGTTTTTTGGATTTTCCACAAAGATAGATAGATAGATAGATGATAGATAGATAGATAGATAGATAGATAGATAGATAGATAGATAGATAGATAGAAAGAGAGGGAGAGAGAGGGAGAGAGATAGACTGTTAGAGAAGACTCAGATGACCTTCAAATGCAACGCATCCTGGAAAGTTTGGACGCATGCCTGTCACTTATTGCAGTTTCTTTAATTAGCATCATGCACAACAAAAACATGGCCTTGTGTTTCAACCAGATTATTTGAAATATAAGTGTTTAAGTGAAAACCTTAATTTCACTAAATATGAATTATTTTTAATGCATTAACGTTAAGGGTTAATAAAACTAAAATGACGCAAATATTAGAATACTTTCATTTAAACACTGTTTTAAATCAAGCTTTCTCACTTTGGGGACACTTGTGTTATTTCCAGAATTAATTGACGGTTGCTGATGTTAGTGTGTCCCTGGGTGTTTGAATTTAAACAGTGATGATCGAGAATAGGATAACACAACAGAACTTCTAACAAAAATTTGTCAGGGGTCTCATTGTAGTTTTTGTTCTTCTTAAATTCTTATATTGAAATATATGTTATATTTTTGGTGTTTCAGGTTTAAGTCAGCTGTATTCTACAATTGTTATCTTCTTTGTATGATATTTTTTGGAATTTTTATAATGTATTTAAACTAATCTGTTATATAGGTTTGACTAATTATCCTACAGCTCACTTTTTATTTTATTAAAAGTTTATACACCCTGAAGGGTTGATTTTCCAATTGCATTAAAATTTTTAAATTTGGCAAAACTGCAAAGGAAAACACTTTCTCTAAAGCATCATCAAGACTGGAAGTAGTCAGAGAATGATGGCGAGGTATATTTGGAACTCACTTTTTTTACGTTCTGTTCGCAACGATGAGCACTAGAGCTGTGGCTGAAATATAGATGTATCTTTAGGTGTTTACAACCCTAGCTGCCATGTTTTTTCAAGTTATTTGCAAACAACCATATTCAAATGCAATTCTAATTGTATTTCCTATTCAATGGAAATAGCGCAATATTGACAGTTTTATGCACATTTGTAATGTCAATACAATTATTGACTATGTCCATATTTCTTCCATCTAGCTGTTGAGTTTTTAAAATTAAGTTTCCTTTTTTCCATCCAGTATTTTCTATGCGCCATAATGCTGGCAGTGAAACAGTCCCTTGTCAATACACTGCCACCACCATGCTTTTCAGCACATGCAATATTCTTCATTTTGTACTCTTTGCTTTGACTACTCCATACATTTTTCTTGTCATTATGGCCAAACAGCTCAATCATTTTCCAGAACAGAAGGATTTTCTCCAGAAGTCCTTTCATATAGACAGCTGCAGATCTTAGGCAAACCTAAAGTCAGAGGTTCAGTAGAAAGGCAATCTTTTTAGTGAGTACTCTAAATCTTTTGATGACTAATGCTAATTTCTAGTCTTCGTCCCCTGCCGGGCCAGAAATATATATTTTTTTCCAAATGCTTGTATTTTAGAATGGGAAAGCAAATTAATATATTTCAAACTGGTGAGAACGATTAACGATTAGAACAATTTGAATGATATAGGTTCTTTGGCGCTCTGACCCCTGAAGAAGACTTTGATGCTGTGAATTGACATTTGCTATGATGAATAACGTAGGAAAAAGTTTAGAGGATTACAGTAGTTTTCCCCCCGGGGCCTGGACAAAGGTTTTGGAAGAAGCAGAAGGACGAATAAGACTGAGACTAGCCTGAGAGGGAGGGAGGAGGTGGGGCAGAGGTGGATAAAAGTTCAGCTGGTATGCAGGAGGAAAGCTGGGTGAGGAGCTTTATGAAAGGGATCTTCAATGATGATTGGCATCAGAGGGGGTGCGGTCCCGAAGTCGATTGGCTGGAGCTTGAACAACACATATCAGAAGGTTGTTCAGGTGAGGCTGATAAGAGTCTTCCAGGTTGAATATTCGCTTTGGCTTCATAACTCACAGTAATTACAGAATAACAGAAGGAGTGAGTTAATTCCAATAATTCAATATAGTATATTGTTTACTCTATACTTACTCAACCTTAAAATGACACAGCATAATAAGAGACAGAAAATGACATTAATCCAATGAGGCTTGAGCACAAAAATAAAAGTTTAACATAAATATAAAGTGAAGGTGTATCTCTTTTTGGTGCAGTTTTGTTTAAAAAAGTATTTATTTGATGGGTAAAGTAGCAAGAAATTTAATTCAAGTAAAATCAGTGATAATTGATTCTATTTTTACTCAAGTAAAAGTAAAAAGCCAAATGCAGTAAAACCTAAAAAGACAATTGCATTAAAACTACTCCTAAAATTTCCTGTTTTTCATAAAGTTACTCAAGTAAATGTGAGTAAATATAATTTTATACTATCCAACCCTGGTAGGAAACTACATAGTAAATTAAAATATATATATTTTTTAGATTTTAAGATACAATAAGGTTGAATGCTGTTAGCCGCTGGTGCGGAACCTGCAGAATCTGTAGAACCTGTTAGGCAATTGCCAAATATAGGCTTAGCATGTGGACCTTTCAATGAATTATCTAGACATAAGCATGGACAGCTGTGTGA